GTGTGAGATCCTTCTATAAGGTTGTCTACAAACAGCTAGAGGGGTCTTTGTTATAAGCTACAAAGATTGGATCATACACTTGTTAATTCTACATCCAAGAATCCAACAACATAAAATAGCTTCAGTTTTTTATTTGTAAAATTAAAATGGAAACTGATGTATTTTGCAATGAAACGTGTATATTAACAGCATCACAATTGAATCTTTAGCAAGGACGAAATGGAATCCCAAATGAGAACTACTGATAATTAGAAGATCTTAAAATATAGTCTCTAGAGCCAGTTCTAAGTCTAATTAGGTTACATCTTAATTGTTGTTATCGTTTAGACATATATATCATACATGCTCATAAATCAATGATTGAAATAATGAAATAGACTGAAAATACATTCCAAACTAATAAGTTTTTGTATTGGTTGAAGGAAAAATAAGGTTGGATATAGAAATATATATACTTTGAGATGTTATTGCCACATCGTGCTGAATCATCTGAAGAAAAAAAATTGAAGGTCATGAATTTTTCCCTTTATCCCAAATAGTTAGGGTTTATGCATTTGTGTTGATGAGGAGAACAAATGATGAGAGCACAAAAAAACCTAGATTAGAAGATGAATAACATTGAATAAGAAGATGATGCATTACTTGTATTGAAAAACACCTACCAGTTAATTCATATTGTTCCAAAACAAAATTGACGTGGAACCAATTCACCATCGAAATTAAACCTATAAATATTGATTAGGGAAATAGAGAGATGAAAGCAAAATTGAAGTCGAACCAATTCATCTACCGACTTTATGGTCCGGGATTTTGTATCTCTCGTCATTTGAATTGAAGGGAATAATATCGCTCAATCCATCTTCCTTCCCTTCAACAATCACATGCCAAAAATCAACAAATACATCCATGTTCAAAAAATCGCAAAAAATCAAGTGCACCTAGAATAAATATCTTTGAAGTTAAAAAAAGCTTATATTTATTTACCAGAGGAAAAGTAAATGACACTACCACTCTTGATGGTTATATCTTTCTCCATCAACGTTGATATTACATGGAAGCACCGACGCTGTGAAACAAGAATAAGAGAATTTGGATGAACAAGTCAAAGAATTTATGTAGAAATGCAAAAGATAAAATTGAACTATTTAGGGTTCGTAAACTTAAGGATCAAAGTGTCACTAAGAAAAGAAAATGGTGGAGAACAAACCAGGGCAACGAGGAATCGTTTCTGGAAACAGTGGTGAGAATGAGGCACAATTTCTTGAATAGATAGAATAGTGGATGGGAAGCCGGTATACTGACATAACCCACCCAACGAAAAAGGGATTCACTTTGAATCTGATCCGGAACAAATATGGATTCGAATGCGCCATATGTAATGTTTCAGAACCAATACAGACGTCGATCATGAAGGCGGATATAGGAAATCCAACATGAGGCGACCTTTATGTATAGGTGTCGTTTGGAGTTTAAGCAACGTGGCGTCCTCGAAACCATATACGATTTAAGTGAAAAGTAAAGCAAGTCTAACCTCTCTCATAGGATCCATAAATATGGGGAGAAACCCGGAGCGGCACGTAGAGGAAGGAGTAATCGTTGATCACTTGATTAGGTGGGTATTTCAATTTGGACTATGGAAACTATGATACGTTGTGGTGGAGGTGAAGAGTAGACGCTTTAGTATGATACGTCGTTCAGAAGATAGTATACGTGTCGTAGAAAGAAGACAGTGAAATTGCTATAGGAGGAAGGAGAAAATAGGGTTTATATATATATATTAATGATATTAAAGAGGTAGAATGATGAAGACGGGGCGGGAAGGAGAACCCAGAGAAGGGAAGAGAGGATAAAAAGGTATTATATCTTTCTTGTTCTTGCTTGCTGTTGTAGAAGATATAATCGAGGTTGAGAGAAGAGATAGATATCTAATGGAGGGGGAACGAGACCAGACGATGCGATGAGGGTTGGAGGCGGTGGAGGTGGGTGGGTGGGGGAGGGGGGGGGGTGGGAGACGAAGAGATGGATGTAAGGGGAGATGTACGAGAACAAAATAGAAAGACAAGAGGGGAGATAAGAGACTCGATTTTTTGTGAAGAAGAAGATGAAAGGAAACAAAGGTGTAGCAGAAACAAACGAGTAAGGTGAGGCGAGGCGAGATCACCGATTGTTGCAGAGGGCAAAGAGCACCGAGAGCGTTCGTTCTTGAAAAACGCCCTAACTGGAATGGTACTTGCGATTTTGTGCGATGCATGTTTAAAAAAATTATAAAGCGACATCTATTTCTACACGACACCCATTTAAAGATAGGTGCTCTCCGTGTTTGTAAATTTTTTTTTTGTTGGACACCAAATTTAGGGCGCGCAAAAATGCGTGTCTTCTATCCTTCAAATTTTGGAAGACTGACATTATTTTTAGGACACCTGAAAAAGGCGTATTGTAAATCAGTGCGTGTCATTGTTTGCGTGTCATTAAAGGTTGTTTTCTAGTAGTGTTGGGTTTTGGATACTCATGGACCTTAAATTTCCTCTTGGTTCTTGTTGCTTTGGATTGTAATGTCTCACATTCTAGAACCCAGATTAGAAGATCATTGAAGACTTGAATATTTTTTGATTGCTTCTCCATATGTCATGCTTGAGGTCTTTTTCGCAAAGTTGCTCTTTTTAGAAATTGAAGTCGGGTCATCCATTCCAAGCTTTGAGGGGGAGAATGTTATGGTGCAAAACTCTTCATTGGATGGTGTCTTATGCTTTCCCTTATTTGATATGGTTATGGGTTGAGCTTGCCTATGTATACTTGTATAGTATACCATGTATAGGTTTGAGAGAGCTCCTATTGTATAGATTTATAGTGGAGAGAGAGAGAGAGAGAGAGAGAGAGAGAGAGTAATGTAGTAAGCAAGCACATGCTTCTATATTTTTGTACTTCTCTATTATCTATACAAATGTGTTTAAACGTTATATCGTGTCTTATCGATTATGCATTGATTCTTAATTCCGCATTTGTGATCTTCCTTAGGATCCTACATGCATATAAAATGGTTTGAATTTTATAGAGTTTAATGGATTATCACATTATCATTTTACTTTTCATACAACAATATTTTTTTTTTACAATGCATTGAACTCTATAAAATACAATAGACCATATTTCAAAAATTATTTATTGTAAAACCTAAATGATATTTATTTAATGATTAAATAGTTTCATTTTCTTATTGAATACTTCTTGACCATTGATCTCGAATGTCCACAAACTACAAAGTGTCATCGCATTATACTTTAGTTTATTTCATTGAATGCCAACTAGTCATTCTAGCTCTTTCAGCTTTCCAATAAATGTCATGATTTCTTACAAAAGTCTAACGAGGCATCAAGTAACAATACAATTCTACAAACAAATGCAGCAAATTTCCTTTCTTTCTGTTCGAGTTTTTGATATCAAACAAAAAACTTTGAGTTTACTTTGAATGATGGGTTTTTCTTTCCTTAATTTCTTTTCTATAGTATTCGACATTTCTGATGAAGAATTATCTTCATTTCCTCAACCAGAAGCATGGAGTAAACCTTTAAACAAAAGTTTGAAAGAAATGTCATGAAAAATTAGCACACAAAGACCGAAACCATTGCTTGCGTAGGACCTTTCGTTCCGTGTGTAAAAAGCTAATATTTCTTTGAGATTCAAGATTTCATGGCAAGCATGATTGAGTATAATACTGAAATGATGTTAAAAGTTGCACTGCTTTGCTGCCTTTGCCTAAAAGACATTGTGGTAGAGGCCACATTTTAAGTGCTATTGTCTCATCTATGTAACTTTGGAGCTTTTTGTTTGTGGCGATGTGTTGAATTTCCAGACTCACTGAGTTTACTGATTGGTTCACTTTCTAGTGTCTCTCTTTACTCTTCATTAGTAGATGAATTATTGATGCCCTCATGTTGTAATTTACTTTATTTAGTTTAGTACGATCTACTACCAACTTAAAGCATATAATGTCAGTCATCAAATTTATTTGAGAGAGAGAGAGAGAATAAAATTTCACTTGATTTTATTTTATTTTTTATTTTTTTGAAGGGCAAGTTAGTATATTGAACCCATGACTTTTTGTTAGAAAGACCCTTGTGAGACATCTTTTTAATCAAGTTGGCTAACCAAAACTTGTGAAAATCTTACTTGATAAATTACCTTTATCAGAATTGAGGAGGGCTAGCTACTACTTTTTTCTTGTACGTACTTGTATAGATTTAACCCTGCTGCAAGTGCACTTGCATATCAGACTTACAATGTTCTTTATGCCTGTAAAAAAAGTGAGAAAACAGACACCTAATCAGGTTAACTAAGGAGGCATATTGATTAGCCATTTGAACTGATAAAATGTAAAAAAAAAAAAAAACAAAAAACTTGTAAACTAGCATAGACCACCTTCATTCGCATAAACAATGTGATACATGCACTTCCATTTCAACATTCAGTCATGAATCCACAAGCAGAAGGTTTGATTGTAGTAATTTCAAGGTGATACCTTGTGAACTTTGATGATAGCCAAGGGTTAGCCAAACCAAGGTGCATGAAAGTTAAGATCTTGGTGGACCTTTTCACATGTTCTTCTTTTTAGAGGCAGTTTTCTCAGCCATCTTGTTCTTGTTTATCCTGTCCACCTCAAAAGTATTTATAAATATACTGATATTAATTTCTAACCTTTTTACTAATTTATTAGCATGCGTTCTTAATTATTTCTGCAAAAAAGTCTTTTATGCTTGGTGGGTTTTCAAATCAAGACAAAATCTCTTGCAGTTTCCCAGTTTTTTACAGATAGATTTAGAACATGTGATATCAATCATGCGCTATATTAAAAAAAATAAAGATTTATTCTGCTACTTCCTCTTCGAACTCTTAGAATACATAGTAACTGACTTAGAGAATATCATCGATAAAGAGAAAAGACTCATGTCTAGAAGAACTCAGAGGAACTTGAGATAGAGATAGAAGGGTTTGAAGATTCAGTTCTAAAGGTAAAATGCGTTGCTATTGATATCATCTAAGTCCATCAAACTAGGATAAGTTTCATTAAGCTGCAATTTGTTGATCATTTCACGAAGTTCTGAAGCTTCCTCTTTAAGCTGAGCATTCTCTTGAAGAACTTGATCATGTGTCCCTGAAAATTTATTCAATTTGTCAACAAGTTGATGATTTTCATTACGAAGCCAAACCACCTGCGACCAAAGTTCATCTAAATGCTTCTGTTTGCGCATGCGGGACCTACGTGCTGACTCTCTATTAGATATCATTCTCCTTTGCTTCCTTTCATTGATGAGGTTTATCTGTTGTTGATCATCTGCTTCATCAGAAAAATACGGGTTAATTTCATGATAGTGGGGGTTCATGTGAAGATTGTAGAATGGGTTTGAGGGTGTGTTAAGATTGAATTGCATGATTGGTGAGTTGTATAGGTTCATGGTTAAGTATGTTGTGTCATGATCGAGATCTGGGTTTGGAGGAAGAAGGTAGTGGGAATCGGTATGCTCGCTGGCTTGCATGGCTATAATTAATATTTACTCAAATTTGGTAAGATGGATGTTGTTATTGGAATTGAAGGCGAAGGAGAAGATGAGGTAAGGACTTTATATAGTATTTAAAAAGGTTGTGAGGGTCCTAGCATTACCAATTCACCATAGAAGCATATGGCTCCTTGATTGTGGACGAGTAGGGTACTACCTGAAGTTATACTGTTTAAAAAAAGGTATACGCATTAGGTCACACCCTCGGTGCCCCCACTAGGGAAAGAATGCATAGACATGCTCTAAGATGGAGGAGAGGGGGGGGGGGGATGACACCATTAAAAATGGTCCTCAGTCTTTATTTTATATTACAAATTTTATAATATACTGAATAAAAATAGAAGAACACAATTAAAAAAATTGAGAACACTAGATAATTTATGTTAAAAATTTAAAGTGCTATAAGTTATATAGAAGAGTCTCAATTCCATTAATCGTTTCTCTCATAAGTTTGGTCTATCCTGGTTTTATGTGCGATGTGACACCAGTTAAAATATTTTCTAAATCCACAATTGTTTTCTTGTAAATATTTATACCCTTTTGATCTTTAGAAGGCATGTACCCCTTTATGGTGATGAAATGGTCAACAAAATACATGATTGTCATTGTCCCCAGACATTTTCTTTTGGCAAATTGCTGAGGATTCTATTTTTATTGTGGATAGGATTATAAAGCTTAAAAAAAAGAAAAGGAAACATGAGAAGACAAGCCCTTTTTATGCAAGTGGAAAGATTATTAATTAAACAAGGGACTCATTTGACCACTTTGCTAACAAAATATACTAAAATAAATATATATCCTTTTTAATTACTGCATCTTTATGAAATAGGAATCACTGTTTCTTGTGACGCAAGGCACCAATCAATGGCACATTATGGTAAAAGTTGGTGTTTCTTAGTCATTATTTCATTAAGTTAACCCACGATAGCAAATGATTAGTTTTCAACGCCATTTTGAAAGCAAATAAAAGCAGCATATTGTGATTGGTAAGTGGTCAAGCCAGAAGAATTGTGATGTATTACCATATAATATATCCTGGGAAGGAATGGGGTTTTAGGTGACATATGAACGATATGTTTTAGATTTTAAAAAGAAATTGTATTCTTTCAGATTGAATATAAGATTTAGGGGCACAAAATAAACAAAAAAACATATATTTATAACCATAAGATATATAATATAAGAAAATTATAATATTAACAACAGGACGTACTTGTAAATAAACATTGCTGATCAACTATATTCATCATTCATGCATATGAAAGTTAACTTCAATGGAATGAAATTAATGCCCTTCTTGTAAAACCATATTTGATTAGACTAAGTGGTCAAAAATGTCATTAGACAGAATAGACTGTTCTTTCTTGTCTTGTCCTTCAATTGTTCTTGCCATGTTCCATCTTTTCCTCTAATTGCTCTTCTTATGTGTTTCAGTTTTTTCATATTTAATGTGTTGTCGTTTGTTTATTGGTGTTTATACAAAGATGTCTACATGTTAACATTTGTAACGACATTTTTCTCAGCTTTATAGGAGTAGATTAATATTACCATTTTACCATGACATCAATTGACAATGTCAGTTGCTTTAACTTGCAACACATAGAGGGAATGTGTGGACTGTAGAAGGTCTGAAATAAATGATTGGAGGTAAAAAAAAAAGATCCCCCTGGCTTCCCACCTTACCATCATATCTTTGTTGTTTTCAATGTGTCATGCTTTTAACTCCTTGTGTTCCTATTATACCCTTGATGTCATTTGGAACTTTCATTCTTTCATAAGTGTTGAAGACAAAAGCCAAGGAGATTTTGGGAAAGTGAAATTGACAAAATAAGGACAATGTCCTAAAGTTACGGACCGAGTCCCAATTGGAGGGTACCTGATTTAACCCCAACCCCATAAATTTTATCAATAGCACATCCAATTCAACCACCACCCCCAACATAAGTGGTGGTGCTTACTACTAGCACATCCAATTCAACCACCACCCCCAACATAAGTGGTGGTGCTTACTACTAGCAGTAGAAAAATATAGTTTTTTTGATGAAATTTTTAGCATATGCCTCAACTAATACACAACTGAGATTCTTTTAGTCCCTATAGTTCATAAATGAGGTGACATTCTTTTTAGAAAGATGTATCACTTCTTTCCTTAGATATTATATAAATAAAAGCATCTTTAACATGTTAAGAATCCATGTTTAGACTTTAGAGTGTTACATGTTGACTGGAATGGAAAAATCACAAGCTGTACACAACAACTGTAATAAGCAAAGAACAGAGGAAGAGAGAATTTGACTCAAAGGTTTTCTGCATTAATTCAACTGCTAAACAAAACAAAGGAAGTTGCCATATATGGCTTACGATTACAGAGGAAACAACTGCAAAAAGGAAATTGCCCACTAAGGCACTACTACTACTACTATATGACTGAGTCAAACTCTAAATTAACTAAGCTAGAAAATAACCATGCAGAAAACTAATAGGACTAAAAGAAATCACGTGTCAAGCATGATACCACGTGAGGTGTTGCATCTTCAATATTCCCTCTCAACACTTGCTTCAATAATGCCCAAAGAGTTGCAAAAGTCCACGAGTTTGTTATTGGCTAGACTCTTGGTGAGAAGGTTAGCTACTTGATCAACTGTTTTCACATAGATTAAATCTATCTCCCCTTTTAGTACTTTCTCATGAATGAAATGATAATGGACTTCGATGTGTTTTGTTCGAGCATGAAAAGTAGGATTCTTTGCGAGATGAATTGAAGATAAGTTGTCACAAAACAAGGGAATCTTGGGTTTTACATCTTGATTTAAGTCTTTTAGGAGTTGGACAAGCCAAACACATTCTTGGGCTGCCATAGTTGCTTCTCGGTAGTCAGCTTCTGTAGTAGAAAGGGACACAGTAGGCTGCCTCTTGCTGCACCACGACACAACACAGGATCCCAGCATAAACACATAACCTGTAGTGGAGCGACGTGTACTTCCATCTCCAGCGTAATCAGCATCACAATAACCTACCAGCTTGCATTCCTGTTCCCTCTGAAACATAACTCCATAATTCATGGTTGCTTTGATGTATCTTAAGACTCTTCTAACTGCATCAAGATGAGGTTTTCTGGGATTTTGCGTATACCGACTTAGTACTCCAACCACGAAAGCAATATCCGGCCTAGTTAGGGTTAAGTAGATTAGACTTCCAACAAGTATCCTATACATAGTTGCATCTTCCAGTTTTCTCCCAACATCCACATCCACATCCAAACCCAAGAAGTGTCTTAGCTTTCCAAGATCTTTCATGTGAAAACGAATACACAAGTTTTCTTTCAACTGAACAATTACATCATCAAGATCTCCTGTGATTATGAGATCATCGACATATACCAAAACAATAGCCACTTTTTCTCCTTCAGTCTTCACGAACAAGCTAGCATCTGCATTGGTTATTGAGTAACCATTGTCTTCACGAACATGCTCTAGGCAACTGTTTAAGCCCATACAAGGCTTTCTTTAGCTTGCATACATAGTTAGGGTTTGTCTTGCTTATGAACCCTTGAGGCTGCGTCATATGAATCACATGATGCAAGTCCCCATACAGAAACGCGTTGCTCACGTCCATTTGCCACAATTTCCATCCTTTGTTTGCTGCCAAAGCTAGTAACACACAGATTGTTGTTAATTTAGCTACTGGGCTAAACGTATCTTCATAGTCCAGACCATATTGCTGGGAGAATCCACAGGCCACCAACCGGGCTTTACATCTTTCAACTGAGCCATCAACACGTTGCTTAACTTTATAGACCCATTTACACGAGATGGGTTTAACACCAGTTGGTTTAGGAACTAATTCCCATGTTTGTTTTTCTGTACTCGCTTGTTCAAAGGAATCGGATTCACACACTTCCTGTTCAACTATAGCAGCATTAGCATACTTGCGATTGGGTTTCTTAAGTCTGGACGATCTTATTACACTTGGTGGCTCTTCATAATTATCACTTGTGTCTTCATGGTGGAATACTCCTGAGCTCCAAGGTTGTTGATTATGTTCTTCAACATCAGTTGATTCGATTACACTTTCTTCTTGGCTGAGATTGAAGTTAACTCCAGATGATACTAGCTTCTCTTTTAACTTTTCTGAATCTGGAAGCACTTCATGGTTTATTGTCCACCACGAGGATGTTTCATCAATTACAACATTCCTCGACACATCTCACTTTCCGGTTAATGGATCACAACATCTCCAGCCTTTCCTTTCTTGGTCATAGCCGACAAATATGCTTGGTACCGCCTTCTTCTCTAGCTTGTATCTTAGATGACCAGGTATGAAAACATAGCACACACATCCAAATACTCTCATATGACTTACATTTGGCTTTACTTTCCATAACTTTTCAAATAGAGACTGATACGAGAGACCTTGATGTGGAATTCTATTAATTACATAGGCTACAGTTCTCATGGCTTCAGCCCAAAATCTTCCTGGAACATTTTTATCATGAATCATGCTGCCCGAGATCTCTGCCAGATTCCTATTCTTCCTTTCTGAGACTCCATTCTGTTGTGGGGTATTTGGACAAGTCAACTGTCTTTTGATGTTGTGTGCTTTCAAGAACTTAGTGAAATCTTGTGAGAGATATTCACCTCCATTGTCTGATCGTAAGCAATGAATTTTTTGCTTTATTTCTCTCTCAACATCACTCTTGAATTCTTTGAACTTGGCTAAAGCTTCTGACTTTTCTTTCATGAAATAGACCCATACGTATCTTGAGTAGTCATCAATGAACGTAATCATGTATTTCATGCCTTTGACAGAGGATTGTTTCACTGGTCCAAACACATCAGAGTGTACCAACTCCAAAGGTGCCTTTGCATGGAAGTTTGATTTCTCAAACGGTAGTTGATGGGCTTTTCCAAATTGACATCCTGCACACACTAATTCCTTATTTACTTCAAGCACCGGTAATCCACTGACCATTTTCTTCT